ATAAAAAAATAATAATCTTCACAACACTATCTGTCAATCAAAGTACCCCACCTTGCCTCCCCCCCTCTTCCAACCGCGCGGTCAGTCCCAACCCTCCCCCCCACCCCCCACCAATCATCCCTTCAAGAGAAGAGTGGGTGAAAAATTTAGATTTTAACATTTTGTATTAAATAATACCTCAGATTAAAGTTAGGATAATATAATTGACATTGCTGGATTCCTTGTAAGACCAGGAATATTTTGAATATAAACGTCATATATTTTGCACGAAAGATAACATACTTACTCAGATTAAACATTTTATCTAAAAATTTTATGTCTAATGCAAAATATATGATGTTTATATTCAAAATGATCATCAAATTATAAGAATTCCAGCAATGTAAATTATATTCTGACCGGGTAATTTGTATGAATTTTATGAGCTAAAACAAATATCTTCAGTTAATAAAAATAAAAAAAATATTCTTCACGGGTAACAGATGGTCGGTCGGTCGGTCCCTCCCTCCCCCCCACCCCCCACCAACCGTCCCAAGGAGATGTGTGGGAAAACCAGAATACTTAACTTTTTTGTAATAAATAATACCTCAAACTAAAGTTAGGATAATATAATTGACATTGCTGGATTCCTTGTAAGACCAGGAATATTTTGAATATAAATGTTATATATTTTGCACAAAAGATAACATAGTTACCCAGAGAAAAAATGTTATCTAAAATTTGTATGTCTAATGCAAAATATATGATGTTTATATTCAAAATGATCACCAAATTATAAGAATTCCAGCAATGTAAATTATATTCTGGCCGGGTAATTTGTATGAATTTTATGAGCTAAAACAGGCAGTCAGGCAGGGTGGAGGGTGGGGCAAATCTAAAAATAGCGTCTCGAGCCGGACACTCACCGCGTATATGATGAAAAAATCCTTGTTAAGTGAAAGTTCAGCTCTGGCGAGGCACCGCGTATATGATAAAACGCGTTAAGTGAAACCGCGTTAGGCGGGGTAATACTGTATGTATATATATATATATATATATATATATATATATATATATATATATATATATATATATATATATATATATATATATATATAAATCTTGATAAAATCACACGGGAAAATGGAAACAACGGAGTACCTTAGCTTTCGTCTTTATTCAAGACATCTTCAGAGGCAACTGGATTACATGGACAGAGAGAGGCTTAAATATACAGGGTGACCTAAAAACATGAGGTCAGGTCATAATGATGACATCCACTAATCCCCACACCAACACACACGTAGAGGAGCTTAAGAGAAGGGTGGTGACGTGACTAGCCAGGTCAGGTCAGAAAAAAGGGACCCACAAAATAACTATCATACATCTAGATCAAAGGTTTTCAAAGCATTTTTAACCTTGGGCCACTGACAAATAAATTTATGTAACATATTATCAGTTTTGAACTGACCATCACTAAGGTTTATTGATTTTAATTCCTTAATCAAACTAGCTTCAACCAGAAGTCTTTCTGTGACACAAGATGATTTGAATACTTCTAAGCTTTTTTCCCAAGCAATGGGGTGATTATTATTCCTAACATGAACGAACAAGGCACTGCTTTCAGATGCAGTTCTGATATTATACTTATGTTGTTTGATTCTGAGCTGCAGTGTTTTTCCTGTCTGACCTACATAATTACAATTACATTTGCTACATGGAATACAATAAACACTTCCATTTACATTCAAACTTGGGCTATTCCTTATTAACATATTGGTAATGGTTGAGTCATACTTGAAAACAACATTAATATTTAGAAGCTTGAGGGACCGAACTAACGGGACAAATTCATTACGTAATGAATTTGTCCCGTTAGTTTCTATTTAATTTATGATATTACCCTTATTATCAGCAATTTACATTATCTCTCACACCGGCCTATTGCATACTCCCTATCTTCTTATGTTCTTTTAGAATTTGGCATAATATATGTAAATAATTCTTTGTAGATATATAAGCTGTAATTCCCCAGTTACCAATCAAAACTATCAGCAGGCCTTAGCATTTTAATATGGTGACTGTGTTTTAATTATATGGTGTACTTAGTAAAGCATTGGAGAATCTATCCAGTAGTAAAAAGGGTAAGAATAGCAACTGGCTAGCGGCGTCAACCTCTCGTCAGGGGTACTCGAAGAAATGGCACAATTTTCATACTAGGAAAAAATGGCACAACAAATTTCACTTCGAATTCACGAACCACAAACGAACTTAGGAGCTAAAGTGCTAACGAGCCAGTGTTTGAAGCTATGCAGCGTGTTCGAGTTAATGATGATGTTTGGTAACTTGCTATATCACCTTTGTTTAACCCTTAATTCCATTTATACACCTCGATCATATCTCGTGTTTTAGTTTGATACATTTAAAAGAATGTTCATTATTCCTCTTTGCTTTTCTTAACTCGGTCTTAACCCTCATAACAATCTCGGAGGTAAACTTCACCACGATTTATTCTCCCTATAACCTCCTTTTGTCCAATAATATTCTTTAAATAATTGTTTATCCTTTTAGGGTCATTGTTGTTTGATCTGAGTTTTCTATATGTTATGTTCTGCCTTTGTGCATTAAGTAACTCATTATTTAAATTGTTGTGGAACTCGTCAATCTCATATCTCGTGATCAGGTCATCTTCAACCGTCATATTTGGTGAAGTTAGAACATAAGAACACAAGAAAATATGGAGTCTGCAATAGGCCAGCTGGCCTGTGCATGGCAGCTCCTGTCGAGAGTTACTACCACTCTCTATCATCCATGAATCTATCTAGCCTCCTTTTGAAACTTTCCAGAGTTCCCGCACTTACTACAAAGTTGGTAAGCTTGTTCCACTCGTCCACCACCCTATTTGTGAACCAGTTTCTTCCTATCTCCCTCCTAAACCTAAACTTATCCAACTTGAATCCGTTGCTCCGAGTCCTATCCTGCTCGGATATTATAAGAACTTTATCTATATCCCCTTTATTGATTCCTTTCACCCACTTAAATACTTCTATCATATCTCCCCGCACTCTTTGTCTTTCTAGGGAATGCAAGTTAAGTTTCTTTAACCTATCCTGATATGGAAGGTTTCTAAGTCCGGAATTATTTTTGTCATTCTTCGCTGCACCGACTCTAGTGAATTTATATCCATTCTATAATAGGGGCACCAGAACTGAACCGCATAATCGAGGTGCGGCCTGACTAAGCGCAAGATATAGTTGCAATAAGACCTCTGCACTCTTGTTACTTACACTTCTAGATATAAAACCCAATACTCTGTTTGCCTTATTTCAAACATTAACGCACTGTTTTCTAGGCCGTAGGTCCGGGCTTACAAGTACCCCTAGGTCTCTTTCACAAGTCGACTTCTCTAGGTTGATGTTGTTATGGCTGTATACATTGACAGTATTTGTTCTTCCAATATTAAGTACACTGTACTTGCTGGTGTTGAATTTCATTTGCCATTTAATGACCACTCCTGCAGTTTATTTAAATCCTCCGGTAGTGCATTTGCATCCTTCCCTGAATTAATCTGCCGCCCTATTTTGGTGTCATCCGCAAACTTACTTATGTCACTGCTGATCCCAGTATCTAGATCGTTTATGTAGATTATGAACAAGAGTGGGCCTAGTACTGACCCCTGGGGAGCCCCACTGGTTACACGACCCCACTCAGATTTAACACCATCTCCGCTGACCCTCTGCGTTCTATCGGTGAGCCATGATTTTATCCAATTTAAAACTCTCCCCTCGATACCATGAGCCTTAACTTTTCTCAGAAGCCTCTGATGAGGTACTCTGCGTGTGTCAAGAGCCCACCAGGGCACAGGTCAAACGACCCACAATGGAGCCTAGGGGGCGAAAAAAAAACATATTAAAAATAGAGAAGAAAAAGGTTATACTGTGTTAATCTACACCACGAAGATGCCGGAAAACCAGCTTTTTAAAGTTAGACATTGTATGAGTATGGAAACACAGAAGAAGACAGAGCATTCCACAGTTTGGCTGTGTGAGGAAAGAAGGATGTACTATAACGGGTTATTATAGTGTGACCGATTCTCACACAGAAACAGTGGGCACCCCGGGCAAGACGAGTGTTACTAGCCCACGGCCTTACCGGCAGTACACAGGATGCCAAATCTACCTGTATAAGACAGAGAGTGAAGCAACATTGCAGTGAAGAGAAAGGGAAGAGAGATTATCAACTAAAGGAGGAGAGTTAATAAGACGAAATGCCTTTGATTCCACCCTATCTAACAGTTGGACAGAAGAAGAACCACCCCAGATATGAGAGCAGTACTCCAGGTTAGGACGATTGAATCCATTATATACTTGAAGCAATTGCTCAGGAGTGAAATAAACTACGGCATCTGTACAGCATTTCCAGCTTTTAGGAGGCAACTTTAGCAACGTTGTGGATGTGTAGTAAATATAAATAAATGAGCACGGGAGGGGGGGTTGGCAGGAACCACAAACATTCCCTTTAGATTGAGGTTGAGGTGTGAAGTGTAACAGAGTTTGTTCAGAATAAACTTTTCTTTTAACGTAAAGCAAAATGAGGTAAAGTATAGTACTGTAGTGACTACAGTTTCCACTAATGGCTGACCTGGACTACTGCCCTAGTTTTACCTTTATAAAACAAATATCTAAAACTGCACCAAGTTTTCCTTTAGGGTCCATTCTAACATGTCCACTGATGATTACAATAACCCCAGAATAAACAGACATATGCTCAGGTTGGATTGGTAATACAGAGAGAGGAGAGCATTAGCTCTGAGGGTGCAAGAAGGGTACAGTACAAGGTAAAGCTCAGAAGTGGGAAATATAGGAGGAGGTTGACAGCAGGTGGGCTATCCACCTTGCGGAGACGAGGTTTTGGTTGCTGCTGCTGCTCTTCGTAATATGAGTTAAATTTTGGGGTTGGGTTGGTTGGTGATACAGAGAGAAGAGCGATACTTGTTGTTGCATCATCTTTTATAACTGACTCTTACTCTCTATTTCTCAGGTGCCAACTACCCAATTTGGATTGTTAGTGACATGAGGAGGCAAAGTGATTTATCATGGTTCAAACAACACTATGGAGAGTGCCTTTACACTGTGCGTATTACTGCCTCTGAAGAAGTGAGGAAGCAGAGGGGTTGGGTGTTCACTCCAGGTAAGTACAGTACAATGCTCTATTCGTTTTCATGTGCACAAACAAAATGTTTTGACGTGCAGTCCGGCTTACATCAACGAAAAAAAAAGGTAAAATATGAAAAAATTCCAGAGCAAAGTTGTTGCCTATGGCTGCATCTGGCCAGAGTTTTATGACAATATTCGTAATATTTATGCAGTTATTTATGGTTTCCCCTCTTCCTACCGCCCCAACCTTCCTTGGGTTGACATATGAATGATCGTGGTAAAATATTTTACCAGAAAATTTGGAATAAATAGCACAAAAAAGACTTTAGAAATTCATTTCAGGCAACATGTGGCAAGTATAGGGGAATGGTAGTCACCGGTAGAAGGCTAGAAGCACGTATCATCAGTATGGCTTGGACCTTGGCAAGGGGAGGTGTGCACTCCGCTGCACCGCACATCTTACCTCCTTTTTACTCCATACTGTCTTTTAAAATGTTCTGTAACTTAACATTGAAGGTATTAAATAAAAGACAAAATGTGATACATAATTTGTATAATGATAAGAACATCTCTGGTAAAATGAAGGAAACCGAATAACTCCTGGTTTCCTCATAAATTACTGACAAAAGAATTATATTAAGATACTGTACAAATTTATGCTTGGTGAATAGCCGGGGAGAGGAAGGAGGTGGGGAGGGAGCACCACCTCCAGCTGGGCAGCCAGCCAATCCTTTATAGCAACAGTAAGCAATTCATCATAATTCCCTTATTTTTGTTCAATCCAGAATGCGACGCCTACCTTATACCTAGGTATGTTAATGCCTAGATCAACGTTCTGAATTCTCTCCCCGTATGCCCTTATTTTGTCGTTCTTGTTCCTCCTGTGTGCAGCATCGAGAGTTAAGTCATGGTGACATGCGGCCATGGGATCAAAAATCCTGATCTCGAAGAAGGCTCGCTGTCCCCGTGTCCAGAATCCTCGAGCACTGGCGTCAACACGGGCTTCATTGGATGTGTTTGAATTCCTATGTTGGAAATTCTCACCGTCTAATGGAAGGAGGGTCGGTTCTACCCTGACATCATGGCAGATTTCCTTCAACATATTTGCTGTGAGATCCCTTACTTCGTCATGCCTCATGCATATGAAGTCCCCTTTCTTGCACACCATGGCATTATCGACGTCATAGGAAGAGCCACACACGTATTGGGTGGGTAAACCTTCAACTGACCTATCTTACCTTAGAGCAATGGCATCTGTAAATTCTTGTTTATTGAGACTGAAACCATTTGCCCTTATCGGTAACGTAGTTAACCAGTTCGGCTACTTTTTTTTTTCAAATTCTCTGGTACTTGCAACAACAGTTGCTGCAACTTATCACTTTGGCTCCTTCTCCTATTACGCACTCCTCTTTCATTACTTTTAGGAATCGTTGAAAGGTTATTCCTCGTGGGCCAAGCGGAATTTTATAAAAAGAAAGACCGCTGTCCTGACTAACTCTTCTTCTAGTTAATCCTTCTGGTCATTAACCAAAATATCTGTAATAATTTCTATACTCCCTCTCTTCCTCCTCTCTTCCTACCTGATAACTCTATAGCCAACTCTCCCCCTGATAAAGCCAATCTTTTTGGCACCTTATTCTCCTCTAACTCCACCTTAGACGATTCCCACTTTATCCCTCCTACCCCTGCTCCTCCTACTGAACCTTTGCACTTTCCTATAATCTCCACTCTCAGGGTTGCCGGTGTGTTATCCAGGTTGGATATGAGTAAGGCGCATGGACTGGATGGAATACCCTCTCGTGTTCTGAGGAAGTGTGCTGAAATTCTAGCCCCTGTGCTTGCTCGCCTCTTTCACCCTTGCCTCAAAACCCAAACTTCTCCTTCTTCTTGGAAGCATGCCTCGGTTCAGCCCATCCCGAAGAAGGGTCACCATTCTAATCCCTTTAACTATTGCCCCATTGCCCTAACTTCATCCCTCTCTTAAGATTTTCAAAACTACAGTAAAACCTCGCTAAGGCGGACTAATTGGGGGGAAGAGGTGTCCGGATAAGAGGTTATCCACCTTAGAGCAAATTTTAAAAAATATCAATACAGTCAACCCTCACATTACGCGGTCCCGCATTCCGCGGTTCACCGTTAACGCGGTGGCCTGCCGGAACCTAACATGCTCACATTCCGCGGTGCGTGTACCCCATTACGCGGAGAGCGGCTGGCAAGCCGCGCCATTTTTGGATCCAAACCTCCCGCCATCCGCCATGTTGTGTAAGAGGCGCGAAAATGGTGCGCACAAGGTCGCCCAGTCATCAAAACATTACCAGTTCTTCACCCGCCACCCACTACAGCCGGCCCAAGTCAGTGATAGTGATAATTATAGTGAGGATATGGACTTATATGAACTTTTGGGGGTTTGACAAAGAGGCCCTGCAAGCCTCTGTGGTGGATAGTGATACAATTGATACAAGTGATACAGGTGAGGGCCAATAATCTGCCCTCTGCCTCGGAACCAACCGCCCATCCCCGTGTGCCCAGCCATCTTTTCTACTAATGTAAGTGTTAAAAAACCTAATATTATTGATATTTCTCTTAATTATTAATTGTGTGTGCATGCCATCATAAAGTTAAGATAATATTTTTACTACAACATAGTTGTGTGTCGTCAAAAAGTGGAGTTTGGGGGTCGGCCTGGACTCTATTTCAATTAATCCCATATGTTATGTTATTCACTTTACGCGTTCCTCACTTTCCGCGGTACCCTCCGGGTTACATTAACCGCGTAAAGTGAGGGTTGACTGTAATGCCATTTTAAACGAAAAACGAGTACAACACCAATGTGTCCAAGTTTTATGAAAGAAATACTGTACATGTTTTTTTTTTTCAAAATTGATTTTAAAATGTCGTCTTCATAAAGTACTGTATACACTTAATTTTAATCCAGTGTGTATTTTCCTCCTGTAGCCATAGTTTTCTTAAAATAATATAAAGTACTGTATACAGTACCAGGAAATGTGAGGAATAAATAAAAATAATACCAACAAAAAATAATGTTTCACCAAATCAGTAAATGAAAGCCATATGAAAGTTTAACCCCGCCGCCATTTACAAATTACAGGTTTAGAATCCTGTGGGGAACGTTAAGTTTGGGTTCACACTCAGGATGGGATGGAGAAAGGAAATTCACAATGTGCTCTCTGTATACATATTATATTGGATGTACAATGCAGATTGGTGCTGGGAAATGGCAGCGTGGTTACAAGGGTCATGTAGAGAGAGCTGGTTGGTGAGGATGCTCAGAGGAGGACCAGCTTGTGGGTTGCCATGCTCGCCAGCGGGAGCGAGGGCCGCCAGGCAGCGGCGGAGGAGGTGGTGTTGCTTGCTGCGGCTGTAGCTAGAAGAAGAGAGAGGTCACCACGAGGTCAGGTCTTAAATAGCGGAGGTAGGCGTGGCTTAGTAGTTGACCTCCGTCGTGTAAGGCAGCGCTGGTTGACCTAGACCACGAGGCATACACTGGGGAATTCGCGTGGTCGGCTACTCAGCGACAAACAGCGTTTGTAGGGGAGGAATCCACTACAATCCCTTATCCAAAATCCTTGGGGCCAGATCCATTTCGGATTTCGGAATTTTTCGGATTTCAGATTGGTTAAGTTAGGTTACGTTACGTTTTTTTTTTTTTTACAGGGATCAGACCACCCAGGCACAGGTCACTGACCCATATTGGGGCCTGGGGGCTGAAATATAATAATAATAATAATAATTCACAGGTCTAGGTCGTGTTTCTCACTTTTGATCTTTTTTCATTCATGTACAGTCAACCCTCGCTTTACGCGGTCCCACATTCCACGTTTCCACGTTTACGCGGTACCCTGCCGAAACCGTTATAATGTGACAAATCTCACAAGAAGAAGATTACATATAAGTAGGAGAAGTATAGAGAGTAGGAATGTAAAGATAGGAAACTTGGTAGCGTGGCCGGGATGTTATTTACTCAGCGTCAATATGCTTATCTTATCTCGTATGTCAATACACATATATTACTTCTTAAAGGGACAACTTGTTAAACACCTCTTCGATACAACTATTTATTAATTCACTCAATGACATGGACACATTAATATCACTGTTATATCGAGGTACTAACACATTATGTTTTACGTTACTCGACACTGACTCTCTGACACACCTGAGTGAATACACTTCCCACAGTAGGTAACTCACCCTAGGACGTTCTGACAAGACTCACGTGTACCCTGACGTAGGCCCAGTGAGTGCTGGCTGGGCTGCCTCCTACGGGAGAATCTGCTTAGCTGGCGATGCCGTGGTCTGGTCGGGAAGTCTCCCTCCCGACCTGGGGAGGGGACGTGCGTGACTCTGCTTAGTGAACCGAGTGACGACCCGAACGGGAGAGAGATGACAGCAACCAGAATGAGAATCAGTATGACCAGAATAAGGCCGAAATCCAGAATGATCGTGGACGGGACTGTTGGGCCTTTATATGGGGTCAGCCCACCTGGCTTTTGACCTCTAACCAATTATCACTAAACTGGTTAGATCTGGATAGCTGTGTGCAGATGTGGTCCTGCGCAGGTGTCTTGGTTAGGTGAGGTTGTAGGTCACCCGGCTCACGTCATTAGCGGCCGAGGTCAAGTCCCTTGGGTCGACCTGAGGTGTGTCAACCCAGAATGTGGTGGTACCACGAGGTCTGTAGTGTACTTGCTGTTATATGTGACATAATTCTGGGCTGTAAGCTTTGGTCTGACAATCAATCATTACACCGGAATGCTCACATTCCACGGTGCATGTACCCCTTAACATTTTTGGATCCAAACCTCCCGCCCTCTCCCGCCATCCGCCATGTTGTGTAAGCGGCGCGAGCAGGGTGCGCACAAGGTCGCCCAGTCATCAAAACATTACCGAGTTCTTCACCCGCCACCCACCACAGCCAGCCCAAGTCAGTGAAAGTGATAATTATAGTGAGGATATGGACTTTGAGGGGTTTGACAAAGAGGCCCTGCAACCCTCTGTGGTGGATAGTGATACAAGTGATACAGGTGAGGGCCAATAATCTGCCCTCTGCCTCGGAACCAACCCCCCATCCCCGTGTGCCCAGCCATCTTTTCTACTAATGTAAGTGTTAAAAAACCTAATATTATTGATATTTCTCTTAATTATTAATTGTGTGTGCATACCATCATAAAATTAAGAAGTTATTTTTACTACAACGTAGGTATTGTGTCTGAAAAAGTGGACTTTGGGGGTCGGCCCGGTCTCTATTTAAATTAATCCCATATGTTATGTTGTTCACTTTACGCGTTTCTCACTTTACGCGGGCCGCCGTGGGTTGAATTAACCGCGTAAAGTGAGGGTTCACTGTATTTTTTTATTATTATTATTATTATTATTATTTTATTATTATTATTGCAGTATTGTTATTATTGTTAATATTTATTTTATTATTATTTATATTATTATTATTATTATTATTATTATCATTATTATTTCATTTTTGTGTATTTTTTATTAAAAAAATTATTTACTATGAATAATTATTTTTATTACTACTATTATTAAAATTATTATTACTATTAGATTTTTGATCCCTAAGCCCCGATGTGGGTCAGTGACCTGTGTCCGGGTGGGCTAAAACCTGTTTAAAAAAATAATAATTTTGCTCCACAAAATTTTTTTCTGGTTTTCAGAGCTTTTCGGTTTTTGGAATTTCGGATTAAGGGTTGTCAACCTGTACTGTACACCCTGTTTCACCAAAGTAACTAACATCAGCTGGCATGCCAATTCCCTAGCAACCACCCCCTCCCCCCTACACTCTCTGACTGTCTTCCCCTCCCTCACTCAGCCAGCTAACTCTTGTGCAAAGAAATGTATATTCCCTTTGTGTTTTTACCCTGAGGACAATTATTATTATTTTTTTTTCACAGTATGTATTTAGGATGGTGTGCGCTTGTGACTGAGTAAAAATAAATTAGGAAAGTTACGTATACCTACCCAAAAATATGAGTTGAAAAACAACCATAACACAGCAGCTTGACCCAGTAGCCTGGTGGTTACAGTGTCGAGTCTAACTTGGCTACAATGTCATGATTAATCACTATTAACCGCTATTATATCAGTAAGCAATAATAATGACAGTAAATCCAGTGAAATATGACAGGGAGGGAGGAGAGGTACAACTACAGACTACACTTTAACTAGCTGTCACTCACTCGCTCCCATTGCCAGGCGTACGATGGAAATACGTATGGGAGATATCTGTATACATATCTTGCAGTCTAATTTGAAAACAGTGACGTTCTCAGTGATAAACAAATTATATAAACCATGTATTTACCTATGATACCATAAGAAACATTGTATCACTACTAGAATGAATTAAATAATATTCCCACAAACAACAATTGATAACTCATTTTTTTTGCACCCAGGTCGATGACCTGTGCCCGGGTGGGCTATTCCCCATAAAAAAAAATTAACTATGGCTTTTTGATGTCCCTAACCCCATCATATAATGGCCAACAACTGTACTAATTAATCGATTAATTTTCCCCTAGGAATTGATGATGCTGAGAGTGAATGTGACCTTGACAACATGACTGATTGGGATCAAGAGGTGGATAACAGCAATGACCCAGGGAAAGTGGATGAATTACTTCACCATCTGACTACGTTGTGTTCTCAAAGATTAAGTAGTGCTACTAGGAGCACTGGCAAGAAGATCTGAGGCCTACTCTACAGGATTTAGTCTCGTGTTAGTAAATAATTTAGTTTTTTACAAAATAGAGTACTGGGAGCCCCTAGCCTCATACAATATACTGAATACATTCCAGGAAACTGCCACTTCAAATTAATCACACTTCTCTCATAAGAAATGCTTGCCAAAACAGAGTTCAGCTTAAGTGAAATTGTATAAAAATAACAACTGTTTAAGTTTAAAATATGGCAGTACATTCCAGACCTTAAACAGTCAGATGCAGTGAAGAACTTTATTTTAATTTATATTTGAGTTGTTTTATTTATCATTATTTATTACTTTGTCTTATCAGGTGGTTAATGTTTGAATACCATGAAATTGTGGTAGATGTACAGTACTGTACTGTATGTCTGGGTCTGAAGCCTTTTTTTTACCCTGGCACAGGTCACTGACTCACATCAGGGCTGGTTGGGGGGTGAATTAAACCATAAATAAATAAAAATAATAATAGTGAGAAACAAATTATATGTTGTGTTGCCAAAGTAAGAGAAACTTGCGAAATGTTTTGGAAGCATCATGTTGGGGTATATTGACCACAAAATATAGAGAAATAAAAATCAACAAAACCTGCACCAACTGAGGCAGGAACACTTCTCAGGTCCTCCTCTTGCACCAACTGAGGCAGGAACACTTCTCAGGTCCTCCTCTTGCACCAACTGAGGCAGGAACACTTCTCAGGTCCTCCTCTTGCACCAACTGAGGCAGGAACACTTCTCAGGTCCTCCTCTTGCACCAACTGAGGCAGGAACACTTCTTAGGTCCTCCTCTTGCACCAACTGAGGCAGGAACACTTCTCAGGTCCTCCTCTTGCACCAACTGAGGCAGGAACACTTCTTAGGTCCTCTTCTTGCACCAACTGAGGCAGGAACACTTCTCAGATCCTCCTCTTGCACCAACTGAGGCAGGAACACTTCTTAGGTCCTCTTCTTGCACCAACTGAGGAACTTTCCAATTGCCTTTTCTTTTATTTTTCTTTAAGCTTTCTGAGAAGTTCCAGGAAATATTTTTCCATTCCGGGCATTGTAATGAATTTCCGAGGATTGCTTCATGCACGTTTTCGGAAAATTCTAATAAAATCTCTCCATTCCAGGTCTGGGAACAAATTTACAGGATATTGCATCATGTTTCTGATGCAGGGATGTCTTAGCCACTACTGTCCTGTGACTGCATGGGATGTCTATGATTGGCTGATGTATCTTGCAGCCTATCTCGTCAAACTCTTGTATTGTCTGCTGCCACTGTACACGGTTGTTTAATAACTCACTGCTGTTTTCACATACCTGGCACATGGGGACGCATTGGAACAAGATACATTTCTTGGAATGCCCAGAAAATTTATTCCCAGACCCAGAAATGAAAATGTGTTGAGATTTTCCAGAATTTTTCTTGGAATTTTAAGAAAATGCACCTGATTTTCAACCTCAGAATATGTTCCCAAACCCAGAATTTAGAGGATTTCTGGAAAATTCTGAGCAAATGTCAATTCAGGCTATTGGAGAGTTCCAGTTAAGAGGGCTTCCAGCTAACGGAGATATTAGCAGGTGGTATCTCCGTTAGCCAGAACAAGTGGTGCAGAACACTTCCAGGACGACTCTCAAGGCCGAAAAAAATCCCTCATCCCCAGAAATTTACGACTACCTGATAAATTTTCTCAGAAGTTCCAGAAATTGCTCATTTCATCATCTCTCTAACCCGGAAAGAATCCTCCCATCCTCGTAATTTTCTATGAATTTTCCAGAATGATGCATTATATCATCTCTGAAAGCCGGAAAAAAACTCCCATCCCCAGAATTTTACAGGTACCGAAAAAAATTTCTCAGAAATTCCGGAAAGTGTCCCATTTCATCACAAACAAGGAAAAAAATCTCCTTTCCTCGGAATTTTCTGGAATATTCCGGGTACTGTGAAAATGTTCTCAGAACTTTCCAGAAAATTTGACCCTCTGAAAATTTTTCCCAAAGCTGGAATTTCGTGCAAAATTTCAGCTTTGGGACACGATTTCTGAGAAAATTTCAATTCCAGTTAAGAGGGATTCCGACTAATTGAGATACAGTAGAACGTTGATTTAAAGAGATTCAATTTAAGATTATTGATTTAAAGCAACACCCACAATTAAGGACAATGTTTTAATTTAAAGCAAATCTTTCCTATTTTGCATGAGTCAATCTGGCACGTCCTGTTTTAAAATTCGCGCCTAATGTTTCTCTGGGCACGCTACACTGTCCTAAGGGCAAAGCTGTACTGTACATGTACTCAAAATAATGTACTAAATGATTACTAAAAATTTTGTCTAATGCAAACTATAGCATGTTTATATTAAAATTAATCACTATCTTATAAGAATTCCAGCAATGTAAATTATATTCTCCCAGGTCACTTCTGTGACATTTTATAAACAAAAACTCAATCTAAGGCCAACTGTCAAACATGTCACCGTCACATACCCTCCCTCCCTCCCTCCCAGCCAGATTTTGGTGGTTTTAGGCTTAAAGTTTAGAGACCAAAAATTCGTTTAACGTCCCGGTGATCCAATACTACATTGTTTAGCGTCGTCACAGACTACTTTCTGTGACACATCACCTGCTCTTGTCTGGCCGCGCTACTCTTTCTCAGTTCGGAGCGCTGCCCTCACTCGCGGAACGTCACAGCAACACCAAGCGACGCCAAGTCAGTCTCTGTTACAACTTCACATCATTCGTGTGTGCTTAAGTGTTTTTGCTGTAAAACTGTACTCTAACCATTCAAAATGGCTTCCAAGCACCCATCAAGTGCTACTGATGCTAGCGTAGTGAAGAGGCAATGTAAGACCATTACCCTTGCTACAAAAATGGATGTACAGGTTGTACCTCTAGTCCGGCAACCTCGGGTCCTGACCGGTGCCGGACCATGGAAATTGCCGGACAATGGAAATTCACCCTTTTCCTGGATAGATAGTGACTTGTACTTATGCTTGGAAGCACTAGCACCACTTTCTCTGCATCATGGTCTCTTTGAAGACATATTGAAGGGTTAAATGTCGTATAGTAGCTTCTCAAATTTCGCGAGTTTTTAATTCTTAACATATTTTATTGGAACACACACAAAAATAAATAAATAAAAATTTTGAAGGAGGAAACTTGAATTTCGACGGGTTTGAACTGCCCGCCAACGTGCAGACGACGTGCATAATCGTGTAAGCAGCGTCATTTCTCTTCTGTACAAAAGATTCATAATTGTTTATTACTGAATGTCTTTTTTATTGAATTAATGTTTATGTGTGCAAAATGAGCTATGCAATTCATTAATAATACGTAGAATATTAAAACACACGAGGAAATGACACAGCATTGTTTTCGTTGATTACAAAGCCAGTGACTGACTGGTTCTACATATAAAACTGAAGAAAATAAGACCTTGGTTGTAGCTGTAGTAAAATTAATATGGTTGTTTTAAGTAATGTTATTTAATATTAATAAATGGATCAATAGAAGTAGCTAACGATAATGGTAAAGAAAAAAGAGAGATCGCGTATGTAAGTGCGCATGCGCACACGTGAAAACGTATCGTCATTACTTTACATAAGAATATGAAAGCAACACTTATTTACTGTTCATATATATTTTAATTAATGTTTCTGAATTTGTTTTTATTGAATTAATGTACGTGTGTGCAAAATTAACAATACAATTTATTAATAATACATGGAATATTAGAGGAGACAAGACGGCTGCCGGCATTGTTTATGTTAAAGCTTACGAAACCAGTGACTGATTGGTTCTACATATAAAACTGAAGAAAATAAGACCCTGATTTTAGCTGTAGTAAAATTAATATAAAAAAAATAATATGGTTGTTTGAAGTACCTGTAATGTTATTTAATGTTAATAAATGGAACAATATAAGTAGTTAACCATTAAGTGAGACTGCGCGTATGTAAGTGCGCACATGTGAAAACATATCGTCATTACTCTACATAAGAATATGAAAGCAACACTTATTTACTGCTCATATATATTGAAGGGTTAAATGTTGTACTCTGTATAGACAAGCAGAGAGAGAGAGAGAGAGCAGCCGAACTGCCGGATGTAAACAAACCTTAATTTCCCGCGGCTTTTTTTTTTAAGGGGATTAGCCCACCCGGGCATAGGTCACTGACCCACATTGGGGCCTGAGGGGCAAAAATTTAATACTCCTGTAATAATAATTCAGATAAGTAAAAAAAAAAAAAAAAGAGCTGCCTATCTACCTATTGGACAAACTAAAATCGTTCCGGACCACGGGAGTTTCCTGACCACAGAATGCCGGACTAGAGAGGTACAACCTGTATTAACTTGGTTTGTAAAAGGGGAACCTGCTGTGGACAAAGACGCTGTCCTTGGTCTAACCCCCCACAACAGCGTGTACTATCTGGACCAACGCTGACAAGATTAAGTGTGCATGGCTTCAAAATGGCCTCAAAATGCTCGTGATATTGGTCAGATTTTAAACAATTTTCTGGAGGGGTGGGGGGGGGTTACTGCACCCCCCCCCTCCCCCACCCACAACCTCTTTGACCCCTGTTTTTATATTCCTGGATCTGCCCTTGTTATTGTGCCAAAATAATTTGTTTTATGAATATTTTTTTTGAAACATTCATTTAGTAAATTTATTCAGGATCATCATGGTACCATATTCATCTTTGGAACACAATTAGAGCAGATGCTTTGGATAAAACTTTATACCCTTTTTTGGTAGTTTAAATATTGTTGCTCATGACTGTGGCCTAGATGTACTGTAATGGTAGTGGCTGTCCATGTGAGATGTGTAATTTAGAATCTCAAAATCATTCCTCAATACCCAGAAAAGATTTTGGGGATGTGTGATTTTTCAGGTGATGAGAAAATTTGTCTCCATACAAGGAAATCTCTCAATCGTGGACCACTCAGCACTAATGCATGGTAACAGATAACAGCTGACAATAAAACATTGTAATGCTAAACAGACGCCTTTCCTTCATTCATTAGAGAATTAATAATGAAATGCTGATAAATGGGGGATAGTTAAGTAGGAGTTCCTTAGTACATGTATATTACATCTATTTTTTTCGAACAATACAGTACATTATCTCTGGTCTGAGTTTCTTGGGTCAGTGGTATTTGACTCACAGGTATTTTGATGATAGATATCACTCATACAAGCTTGTGAAGGTTAGTTGGTCTAGCCTCACACATGGTTCTCTGCTGAGCAGTGATCTTATTTAAGTAATTCTCAGCCTGAACCCTTAAGCAG